GGGATCCTATTCTAGTGTTCATATGTCTACAGAGGCTACCACAAAATTGCGTCACACTTTGGGAACAAAGCATCAAAGATAAGTCCGCTTTGTCTTCCTGGGACGATTTGGATAAGTTTCTTACAGAACGTATCCAAACTCTTACCTGGCTACGTGACATTGCGTCACACTTTGGGAACAAAGCATCAAAGATAAGTCCGCTTTGTCTTCTTGGGACGATTTGGATAAGTTTCTTACAGAACGTATCCAAACTCTTACCTGGCTACGTGACATTCGTGGTATTGACAACGTCAATCAAACAAATAACAAAAGGTCTCGTTCACATTTCACGAATGCTGGCACGAACCGAAGCCCAACATTTTCTCGAAATTCGCCACCATCTTCTAGTACGTCTCCCAATAAGTCTTGCATTATTTGTCCACGACAAATGCATCACCTAAGAGCATGTCAACGTTTTCTACAACTTTCAGATCCTGAAAGATATAATACTATTAGGAGACATAATTGCTGTTTAAACTGTCTGTCCGCAAAACATCTAGTCAACCATTGTAGTAGCCTACACAATTGTAGGGTATGTAATAAAAGACACCATACTCTTTTGCACAGGGAACGTTCCACTACTGGTTCGTCTTCGACGGCCACAACACCACAAGTTCAGAATGTAGTTTCTCCCCATCAGCCCTCTACAACGAGAGGGACTACCCCACGATCTTCAAATAGACAGGTATTTCATACCACCCACAACAACAAAATGTTGTTAGGAACGGCAAACGTTCATATTGTTCATAAAGGTACTACGTACCTAGCCAGAGCTCTTATTGACCCTGCTTCATCATCATCATTCATTTCGGAAGAAATGCGAAATCGAAGGGCATACCCACAACTTCGAACATTTCCACTATTTCTGGGGTCAGTGGATCTGTTTCAACTACCTCCAATAATGAATGTCAAGTCCGTATTAGTTCTCCAATTGATACTACGCAATCAATGGAATCTAAAGTCATTGTCCTTCCAACCATCGCAGAAAATCTGCCCTCCTTCACCGCACAAACAGATATTCGATCAAATGTGCCAAATCTACGTTTGGCCGACCCCGATCCCTTCTCATCCCGTCCTGTCGATATTTTACTAGGTGCAGATCTTTATCCGAAGATCATGCTACAGGGTACACGTTCCAACGTACTAGGCTCACAAATAGCCCAGAGTACGGTTTTCGGTTGGATCATTACTGGTCCAATCCACTCTTCGTATTTACGTCCATCTATTTAGGGATATACACCTGGGGGACTTTGAGCAAATTATGCTCCATTTTATCCATACTCCCTTTTATCCATAACGGTGTCGATAGTAACTCTAATAATTGTGCTAGGTCAGTTTTCTCACGGAAAACTTAAAGATTACATCGCCTACACTTTTCCCTATGTACATGCTACGCAAATCTAGATTCTACGATCTATATTCCGGGACTTCGTCCCAGTTGGCTAGTGTTACTTTTTTAATACAAATTTAAACGCTTTACGAGCAAGATTCTATCATACAGTCCACCACTCTCCCAGAGTCATACATTTAAAACTATACTTCCGGTCACTTTCAGGTTGTTCTAATCATTTGTCACGCAAATGTCTCAAAATAGTTCTACGGGTTTACGACCTCTTACATTTATTCTAAATCCCATAATCTTCGGCATATTTGTGAAATCAAATATAATATATTGATGTTACGCATCAATCATTGTTACAATCACTTCCACATCGTGGAATAATGGCGAACAGTAGAGGTGCACTCAGGATTTTCATACGGAAAACGGTAATATATAAAAGTTGTTGCGCAAATAATTATCATAGTCCATATCTCGAGTCGTCTTTTGCCACCTCTTTACTTTTTCGCGTTATGAAAAATGACCATTGATGGTCGCGATAGAGTCGCGCGTTATGGGACTATGATAATTACAAAACGACCTACGGTTTTTACTGGTCATTCTGGCCATCCATTTATTAGTTATAATCCTCATCGCTTCGGTATCACATCTCTCTATTTTCACAGAAGATGGAAAATTTAGGTACGATGACTGCGGTACGATATTGAAGACGACGTCCTCATCTTCGATGAGGAAAGGGACTGCAACCTCACAGGTGTCCCCATCGCCATTTCCTCCATCGGAGGAAAAATAATTTAAAGTCCGTCGTCGACGGTCCCTGAAGTTCCTTTGGGAGAACCGGTGGTGTCGCCACCTTTTTCGACACACTGTCGAAAGAACGTCGTCGACGGTCCCTGAAGTTCCTTCAAGAAACCCGGTGGTGTCGCCACCTATTTCGTCACACTGCCGAAAGAACCAGGGTTCGAAAAGAGCCTGCATAATGTTGTTCCAACAGAATCAGCCTCTAAACGTCCGTCCGTTAACTCATCATTGCCTTCGGCTTCAAGTCCCTGCGACGTTACGCAAATGCTCTCAGCGAGAGCCATTGGTTTGGGACATATCGTTGCTCCTTCGAAGTCCATGTCCGTGCGGCTTAAAGAATATCATGCTGGCTTGCAACTTTCCGATTCTCGGTCCAACGAAGCTGCGACGGTCAGCATGATACTAGGCCCAGAGGTTCAACACAATGAATGAGCTACAAAACTTATTCTAGCCCTGGTTTTCCATGTAGTATTGAATCATCACGCGATGGGCAATCTTCAATTGCCTAGCCGCAAGACTCTGCGAGTCCTTTGATAATAAACAGTTAACGGATCCGATCTTGACGAGACATTGCACGATCCTGCTCGTCGAGCAAAATATTTAGCATTAATATGTTTTTTGAAAAAAAAGTATAAAACAAAAAAAAACACAAAAAAATAACAAACCAAACATTAGCTACATATTCATTTTGCAACATAGCAAGATGTTGCAACGCGGGCGGCAATGATTATTTTGAAATAATTTCTTTTGAATTAAAGTAAATTGTGCCCCCATCGTTATATCTTGTTCACTACCTTTATATCCGTCTTTGAGTATTTCGTACTAAAGACAAAAGGTAGTAGCAAAATATAACGAGTAACTATGTCAAAGCGCCGCTTTGTGAAATCTTAGCTTTACAATTACACCCGTTCTTTGTTTCACGACCAGAAATCATCAAACCCTGTAGAAAAGGTAATTTTATATTGTTCCACGAACAAATATCAATAAAAAACCAAATATACGTTTGGTAAAAAATTCTAAACCATTGTGTTTCTATTTCTCTTCTATTTCATATTTTGCATCAACGCAAACATTGGTCCTTCGAGCCGGATTTTACAATCCACCTTTACAAGGAAAACCTAAAACGACAGCGTCAACGCAAACATTGGTCCAATCAAGCCGGATTGTTTTTGATGAAAACAAACACCTCTCCTTTTGTTTCTCCTTTCACGAAGGAAAATATCGACATCGTCGAGAACAACAACTACAAAGATCCACGATCACCACCATCCAAACATTTTATTTATTTTAAAATATTAATTTATCAACAACACAGGTATGTACACATCCTAATTTATTTTTCAAATAAATTGACATACCGTGAAGAAATAATAGTGTTGTGATAAATAATTAATAAAATAAAAAGTCGTCGGTCCGTCCGTTGCCGTCGGTAAATTGCATTGCTAAAAAACAACATCAAGTGTCATCCCCACACATTTGTTTACAACAACAAAATCAAAACAAACACAGAGATATTTTTTGTATTTATTCTCTCATCTATTTTATTCATTTCCGTGTTCCACATAATTTCTTTATATATTTCATTTTTATTGTTGTGCTTTTCATTTATTCTTCTTCTTGTTTGACAAACAACGAAGAAACAGAAAAACAATAGCAACATCACATGAGAGAGTGATTGTCATCTCTGCTGATTGTTGCCACCCGCCACTATCACATGTGACACATTATTGGAAACATATGATCAGTTTCCTTAGGGGTGTTCACACACACGAATAAATTGTATGAATATTTATAAAAATATTTTTGTGCCGTTTTCTGATATTTTTCGAGTTGAATCCTTCGGATATCAACCAAAAATAATTTTAAATTGTGTTTTCGACATAGTGCACCCTACATTTGGCTATATTTATACAAATTTATTAATTTCATATATATACTATTACATATTATATTTATCGAACGATTTATATATTTATTTCAAAATAATTTTGTGGGCAATTGCTATGTTCGATACATTGTCATTGCTTACGTGTATTATACGATACACTGTAATAAATTTGGAATACATTTAATACACTGAGAGAAATTTTAGTGAAAATTTAATACGTTATTCTTAAAATTTCTAAATTTTTACTGGCTTTAATCACGTTAAACCACATTTTTGTTGTATTCACGATACAATATCGATACAAGTCCACGACTTTTTATAAACTCAGTGCATTTTAAACGTTTTGTCTACAGCATCACGTGCTATTACCTAATTTCTTTTGAAAATTTGCATTTATTTGTAGATTTTCAATTACAGTTATTGACATCACGTGTCAAAATCTTAAAATTTATTGCATTTCGTGCAAAATATTCTGAAGTTTTAACACGTTTGTGCATTTTTGTGCAAGTTTATTAATCGCAGTGGTTTTTCAAACAATTCTGTAACATATACTTGGTGTATTCGCTCCAATTTATTATTTCAAAAATATAGTTTTCAACGAAAACTCTCATTTCCCACATTTTTCTGAAATCTATTCATTTTTTATTTGACAATGCCACTCACTCCTCTAGATTTATTCATCCGAGCTACTGATGCTTTGGTTAAATTTGACGCCAAATTCAGTTCCCCACGGGACGAAGAGCTCGATGTCTATATTTTAGAACTACAGGGAGCTGAGGTGAAGAGATTATAGGAAACGGTACAAACCACGTACGACAAATGCCAAAATTATTTGACAGAACAAGATTGTTCTAGTGACCATTTCACTGCCGCAGAAACCAAATGCGATGTGGCATATAATTGTTTCCTTAGGGTCCTCTCTTCTATAAATAGAAAATTAGATGAACTTCGGGCTCCGCCTCAGGCCAATTCAAATGCTCAGCATCAACAAATTGGTTTAAATAACTCATCCTGTGTTGATAATAATTGTGGTCATAGACTAAACTTACCGCCCTGTGATATTGAAGTTTTTGATGGCGACTTCCTTAATTGGCCTACATTTAGGGACTTATTTTCTGCGGTATATATTAACAATTCCGGCATTAGTGACATTGAACGCCTATGTCACTTAAACAAAAAGACCAGTGGCGACGCCCATGAAATTGTGGCTAAGTTTTCGCTTACTCACACCAATTTTGGTCTTGCGTGGAAAGCTCTAAAGCGTACATACGACAATCCACGTATATTGGTGAACCACCAACTTAAACTTTTATTCGATTTGCCTGTTATAGATAATGAGACTAGTTCTGGCCTAAAAAAATTGCAAAGAGGTATTAATGGATGCATATCATCCATGTCAAATTATGATGTCTCGACAGAAGACTGGGATCCTATTCTAGTGTTCATATGTCTACAGAGGCTACCACAAAATTGCGTCACACTTTGGGAACAAAGCATCAAAGATAAGTCCGCTTTGTCTTCCTGGGACGATTTGGATAAGTTTCTTACAGAACGTATCCAAACTCTTAACTGCTTACGGGACATTCGTGGTATTGACAACGTCAATCAATCAAGTAGCAAAAAAGTTCGTTCACATTTCACGAATGCTGGAACGAACCGAACCCCTACATTCTCTCGAAATTCGCCACCATCTTCTAGGCAATCTCGTTCGTCTCCCAATAAGTCTTGCATTATTTGTCCACGACAAATGCATCACCTAAGAGCATGTCAACGTTTTCTACAACTTTCAGTTACTGAAAGATATAATACTATTAGGAGACATAATTGTTGTTTAAACTGTCTGTCCGCAAAACACCTAGTCAACCATTGTAGTAGCCTACACTATTGTAGGGTGTGTAATAAGAGACATCAGCCACTTCAAATAAAGAGTGTCAAGTCCGTATTAGTTCTCCCATTGATGCTACGCAATCAATGGAAACTAAAGTCCTTGTCCTCCCAAGCATCGCAGAAAATCTGCCCTCGTTCACCGCACATACCGATATTCGATCAAATTTGCCAAATCTACGTTTGGCCGACCCCGATCCCTTCTCTTCACGTCCTGTCGATATATTACTTGGTGCAGATCTTTATCCGAAGATCATGCTACAGGGTACACGTTCCAACGTACTAGGCTCACTAATAGCTCAGAGTACGATTTTCGGTTGGATCATTACTGGTCCAATGCCCACTTCCTATTTACGTCCTTTTATTTAGGGATATACGACTGGGGGACTTTCAACAAATTATGCTCCATTTTATCCATACTCCCTTTTATCCATAACGGTGTCGATAGTAACTCTAATAATTGTGCTAGGCCAGTTTTCTCACGGAAAACTTAAAGATTACATCGCCTACACTTTTCCCTATATACATGCTACGCAAATCTAGATTCTACGATCTATATTCCGGGACTTCGTCCCAGTTGGCTAGTGTTACTTTTTTAATACAAATTTAAACGCTTTACGAGCAAGATTCTATCATACAGTCCACCACTCTCCCAGAGTCATACATTTAAAACTATACTTCCGGTCACTTTCAGGTTGTTCTAATCATTTGTCACGCAAATGTCTCAAAATAGTTCTACGGGTTTACGACCTCTTACATTTATTCTTAATCCCATAATCTTCGGCATATTTGTGAAATCAAATATAATATATTGTTGTTACGCATCAATCATTGTTGCAATCACTTCCACATCGTGGAATAATGGCGAACAGTAGAGGTGCACTCGGGATTTTCATACGGAAAACGGTAATATATAAAAGTTGTTGCGCAAATAATTATCATAGTCCATATCTCGAGTCGTCTTTTGCCACCTCTTTACTTTTTCGCGTAGTGAAAAATGACCATTGATGGTCGCGATAGAGTCGCGCTTTATGGGACTATGATAATTACAAAACGACCTACGGTTTTTACTGGTCATTCTGGCCATCCATTTATTAGTTATAATCCTCATCGTTTCGGTATCACATCTCTCTATTTTCACAGAAGATGGAAAATTTAGGTACGATGGCTGCGGTACCCCCGATATTGAAGACGACGTCCTCATGTCCGATGAGGAAAGGGACTTGAACCTTACAGGTGTCCCCATCGCCAACGAGTCTACGCCCTTCGGGTCCCACGAAGCTGCTTCTCCATCGGAGAAAAAATATTTAAAATCCGTCGTCGACGGTCCCTGAAGGTCCTTCAGGAGAACCGGTGGTGTCGCCACCTATTTCGGCACACTGCCGAAAGAACCAGGGTTCGAAAAGAGCGTGCATAATGTTGCTTCAACAGAATCAGTCTCTAAACGTCCGTCCGTTAACTCATCATTGCCTTCGGCCTCAAGTCCCCGCGACGTTACGCAAATGATCTCAGCGAGAGCCATTGGTTTGGGACATATCGTTGCTCCTTCGGAGTCCATGTCCGTGCGGCTTGAAGAATATCATGCTGGCTTGCAACTTACCGATTCTCGGTTCAACGAAGCTGCGACGGTCAGCATAATACTAGGCCTAGAGGTTCAAAGCAATGAATGAAGCCACAAAACTTATTCTAGCCCTGGTTTCCATGTAGCATTTCATCATCAAGCGATGGGCAATCTTCAATTGCCTAGCCGCAAGACTCTGCGAGTCTTTGATTATAAGAAAGTTAACGGATCCGATCTTGACGAGACATTGCACGATCCTGCTCGCCGAGCAAAACATTTAGCATTAAGTGTTTTTTTTGAAAAAAGTCTAAAACAAAAAAAAAATAATAATAATAATAATAAAAAAAATACATTAATTTTGCAACATAGCAAGATGTTGCAATGCGGGCGGCAATGATTATTTTGAAATAATTCCTTTTGAATTAAAGTAAATTGTGCACACATCGTTATATCTTGTTCACTACCTTTATATACGTCTTTGAGTATTTCGTACTAAAGACAAAAGGTAGTAGCAAAATCTAACGAGAAACTATGTCAAAGCGCCGCTTTGTGACATCTTAGCTTTTAATTACACTCGTTCTTTGGTTCACGACCAAACAGCATACAGCCCTACACTACTGTAAAAAGGTAATATTAATTGTTTCACGAACAATTCAATAAAACAACCAAATCTACGTTTGGGCAAAAATTCTAAACAATTGTATTTTTATTTCTATTTATTTTCACCTTTTGCATCAATGCAAACACCCTTATATGAGGGCTACCCGAAAAAATGGACCTATATTTATAATTTTTTGTGGAAAATTGTATACCCAATAAGAAGTCAAAGTACTAAATTACAGCCAATTCGGTGAAAAAATGCGGTCAAATCCCCCCCAAAACTGGAAATTGGGATGTACCGTTATATGGCTACCAGAAAAACTGGACCTAAAGTTATAATTTTTAGTTGAGAAATTTGGTATCCACAAAGAGCCCATTTTACCAAATTTCAGCGAATTTGGTTGAAAAACACGCTCAAGAACCCCAAAATACTGAAAATTTGGGGGTACCCTTATATGGGAGGTATGCCTAAACGTGGACCAATGTAGCCCATCTTCGAACTTGACCTGCCTGAAGAAAAAAGACGACTCTATGCAAAATTTAGAGTGATTACTACAGACAGACGGACGGACAGACGGACATGCTTAGATCGTCATAGAATTTTTCCCTGATCAAGAATATATATACCTTATATGGTCGGAAATGATTATTTCGATGCGTTACAAACGGAAAAACAAAACTAGTATACCCCCCATACTATGGTGGAGGGTATAAAAAGGGGTTTATATGGGGACTACCCCAAAATGGGGGCGAATATTAATAATTTTTGGTAGGGAGATTTGGTACCATATACGACTACAAAATACCTATTTGCAGCAAATTCGGTTGAAAAATGGACCTATATTCATAATTTTTTGTAGAGAGATTTGGGGCCTATTAAGAACTCAAAATATTAAATTACAGCTAATTCGGCGGAAAATACGATAAAAATCCCCAAAATATTTAAAATTAGGACGTACCGTTATATGGGGGCTACCAGAAAAAGTAGACCTATATTTATAATTTTATGTGGAGACATTTAGTACCCAATAAGAACCCAATGTAGCAAATTGCAGCGAATTCGGTGGAAAAACGCGCTCAAGAACCCCAAAATAACGAAAATTAAGGGGTACCTTTATATGGGGGGTACCAGAAAAAATTTACCTATATTTATAATTTTCAGTGGGGAGATTTGCTACACAATAAGAACTCAAAGTACCAAATTTCAGCGAATTCGGTTGAAAAACACGCTGAAGAACCCCAAAATACCGAAATTTGGGGGGTACCCTTATATGGGAGCTATGCCTAACCGTGGACCGATATAGCCCATCTTCGAACTTGACCTGCCTCCAGAAAAAAGACGACTCTATGCAAAATTTTGAGGCTCTATCTCAATTTCTTTAGACGCTAGAGTGATTACAACAGACAGCCGGACAGACGGACATGGCTAAATCGTCATAGAATTTTACGCTGATCAAGAATATACTTTATAGGGTCGGAAATGATTATTTCGATGCGTTACAAAAGGAAAAACAAAACTAATATACGCTCCATACTATGGTGGAGGGTATTAAAAAGGGGGATATATGGGGACTACCCCAAAAAGAGGGTGCATATTAATAATTTTTTGTTGGGAAAATTGTTACCATATACGACTACAAAATACCAAATTTCAGCGAATTCGGTTGAAAAACGTGCTCAAGAACCTCAAAATAGCGAAAATTGGAGATACCCTTATGTGGGGGCTACTAGAAAAGTTGGACCTATATTTATAATTTTTGGTGGAGATATTTGGCACCCAATAAGAACCAAATGTACCAAATTTCAGCGAATTCGGTTGAAAAACACGCTCAAAAACCCCAAACTACCGACATTTGGGGGGTACCTTTATATGTGGGCTACCAGAAAAAATTGACCTATATTTATAATTTTTAGTGGAGAGATTTGCAACCCAATATGAACTCAAAGTACTAAATTACAGCTAATTCGGCGGAAAAATACGATCAAAACCTCCAAAATACTGAAAATTAGGAGGTACCGTTATATGGGGGCTACCAGAAAAAGTGGACCCATATTTATAATTTTTTTGTGGAGATATTAAGCACCTAAAAAGAACTCAATATAGCAATTCAGCGAATTCGGTTGAAAAAACGCGCTCAAGAACCCCAAAATACCGAAAATTTGGGGGTACCCCCATATGGGAGCTATGCCCAAACGTGGACCGATAAACCCCATCTTCAAACTTGACCTGCCTGCAGACAAAAGACGACTCTATGCAAAATATTGGCGATCTATCTCAATTCGTTTAGACGCTAGAGTGATTACAACAGACAGACGGACATGGCTATATCGTCATAGAATGTTTCGCTGATCAAGAATATATATACTTTATAGGGTCGGAAATGATTATTTTATTTATTTATTCCATTCAATAATACAAAAGCCTCCAAGGCCAAAAATAGTATTAACAGTGACATAATGTCCTAATAACTAATAATAATACATAAATATAAAAAAATGCTTACATATATAATTGGCTCCCCAGCCTTAACTATCACACAAATGAAAAATTTGCAAAGATTGACCAGAAGAGCAAACAA